CCCCCCCCCCCTCCCTCCGACTTCTGTTACGTTGCTGCCTCCTTCCACTCACGGCCCTTGGCTCTCGTCCTGTATACTTTGCCGTCTCGATGTTTGTTCTTTCTTGAAAACACACATGCAGTCACAGATACAGAGCTCGCGTTCGAGATAATACCTCTGTCGAAGGGGGATGTGCTGGAGTCTTTGTAGTGAGCCTATGTCCTGACGATTTTTTCTCGTTCTCTCGTCTCTCTTCTTGTGTTGTATCAGGTGAGCGCCGGGATCAAGCCGACGTCGATCGTGTCGTACAACCACCTCGGGAACAACGACGGCAGGAACCTCTCGGCGCCACAACAGTTCCGCTCGAAGGAGATCAGCAAGTCCAACGTCGTGGACGACATGGTGGACTCGAACAAGATGCTCTACAAGGAGGGCGAGCACCCTGACCACGTCGTGAGTGTTTTGTTTTGTTTTTTCGACGGAAAAGTTGAAGAGAATTATCTTCCTCTCTGCTAAACATCGCTACATCGTGGTACATGTACAAGTGGCCGCTTTGGGTGCTTTGGCACCGCGGTGGTCGAGATGTCGCGGTTCGGTTTGGGTCATTGATCGACTGAATCCATGTACGCCCCGGTCTACACCCTGCGTTGTCGTCCTTGGCATGGAATGGCTCGGTGGTATCTATACGAAGCACCAAAAACTTGCAAACTTACGGGGTCCTGCTTCTGGTGGCGTGACCTTTTATCACAGGTGGTGATCAAGTACGTGCCGTACGTGGGCGACTCTAAGCGTGCGCTGGACGAGTACACGTCCGAGATCTTCATGGGGGGCAAGAACACCATCTCCATGCACAACACGTGCGAGGACTCGCTGCTGGCAAGCCCCCTCATCTTTGATCTCGTCATCATGGCGGAGCTTTGCGAGCGGATTCAGGTACACCTGCCTGCTACATACCTGTCAACGGATTGTGGATTGTGGTAGTGCCACACGGCTTTCTCTGGATAGCCAGGTTTGCTTGTTAATGCTCTTTCGGATGCTCAAGTAAGAGCGTTTCACGTGATCGGTCGTTCGTGTTGGTTTGTTGGTTTTCGTGGCCTTCCAGGTGAATGAGGAATATACCATTCTTGTCTTAGTCGCACGTTGAGCGTTAAGAGACGCTTGGTCTTGAACTGCTGCTGCTGTGCGCTTCCCAGGTTGAGCAGGAAGGGTGCGAGTCAGTTTTGTCTTGTCCTATGTTTAGCGTCAAGACGAGCTTGGTCTTAAACTCCCGCTGCTGCCTTGCCCTCCCTCCCCAGGTTAAGAAGGAGGGCGGCAAGTGGGAGGGCTTCCACTCCGTGCTGAGCCTCCTGTCGTACATGCTCAAGGCTCCTCTCGTGCCCCCCGGCACCCCGGTGGTGAACGCTCTCTTCGCCCAGCGTCAGGTCAGCTAACTTAACCAACGACATGTCCATCGTAAATAGTTGACGGTCGGTCGTCAGCGGATATTGCTGTTGTTTTGTTGGTGTGGGAGTGAAGGAAGACGGGGTTAGTGATACCTGTTTTTCCGTTGCACCTCGTGTATCTGTCTGGCGCAGGCAATTATCAACGTGATGCGGGCGTGCGCCGGTCTTGCTCCGGAGAACCATATGCTCCTTGAGCACCGCCTCAAATCGGAGATCGACGCTCTTGCGGTGAGTCAGCTATTCGCTGCCGCACCATTACTAAATGATGCTGCCGCTGTATTCGATGTAGGGGGGAGTTTTCTGCCACCGCGACGCGATCACTGTACGTTCGTTGCCTGTTTTTCGTGAATACCATAGACTATGCATGTTTTCTGCCATCGCGACGCGATTACTGTACGTGTGTTGCCTGTTTTTAGTAAATACCATAGACTAAAAATGGAATCCAAGAAAGACTACTACTGTACCCATTCGAGACGAAACCATATATATATTTTTTTGTGTGGCGTGTTCTTGCCGCACTCTCGCTCGTGCTTCCGGGTCTCCTTGCCCCCTCCATTTTGCGTCCCATGTCGGCCTTTTGTTTGTGTCATTGCTCATTTCTCATTCGACCTGGCTGACAAATGTACAAACCTTGTCTCACAGTGTTTGCCATGAATTGCTCTTGTCACGCTGCGCTGCCTATGCGATTCCAGCCATATCCGCACCTGCCTTTCGAGTAACTTCCCTTCCCCTCATCTGTGTACCCCCCACTTCACCGAAATGTGTTTCGTGGCTTATGTCAGGCGGTTGGAGTTTTTTCCGTTCCTTTCCCTCGTGCTTTGGGCCCGTATTAAGTCGAACTCATGCTTTGTGCACGTATTGAGCACCCCCCGAATTCACCCCTCATCCGTGTAACCCCCCCCCTCCCGCGCTGCACCAAAATGTACTCATGTCTTGTGTCAGGCGGGGCCGGACCTCTCCGTGGAAGCGCCGGCGGCGAAGAGGGTCAAGGCGTAGCGCGGGGAGCAGGGTAGGCAGTAGGCAACCCCTTTTTGATTAATTGTCTTGGGGGGGGCTGGGTGTACAGCCGGCCGGGAGGCTTACCTCTGAGGGACCATATCGCATCATGACTCAGCTATCTGCGTGCCCCTGGTTGAGAGGTGGATCCCCTCCTCAACCAGACCTTTCTCTCAATTTAGGCAACATACCATTTCTATACAATCGTGGAGGCAGGGCATCCAGCGACCGAATCCCTTTCTTTGTTACCCTAAGACCCATCTGCTTCCAACAGCTGGGGCCCTTTCATACAAGCGGCGTTCTGTTGTTGGTGCGGAGCGATGCGGGCCGGCAAGGTGCTGAGGTCGCGAACGAGAGCCTGACATTTTTTCGCCGTTTGAATGGCAACGTGGTATCATATGCACGGATAAAGAAGAAAAGCAAGCATTTGCTATTTTTTGCTCGTGGTGTCGTGAGAAGAAGCATTAGCATTTGCTCGTATGGGTTGTTTCATTTTTGCGGGGGGTTTTTTGCGTTGTAGCGCACCCATGCGTGCACGCAACCAGATATGTGGCGCGACGGCTGTCGGGAAATAGGCATGGTGTGGCCTCTGCCCAGGCCATCTCGATACTGCCGCCGCGGCGAGCAAAACGACGAAGTGTCGTGCTTTTTCCCCCATTTCGTTTTCTTTTGTTTTTTGGCAGACGCAGTTGGTTTGCGTGTCTACTCTTTATTTTATTCCCGCTCTCGCCTTTTCTCACCTTTGGCAAGGTGTAGTTTTGCGCAGCAGGTGTAAGCGGTATGATAGCCGTGCATGATGTGTGTTCCGTAGGCGTGCTGCAAGATATACTCTAGCACGTGGCTGTGTGTGTGATATCTTGCCTTTTCTCGCCTTCGGCAAGGTGTAGTATTGCGCAGCAGGTGTAAGCGGTGTGATAGCCGTGCATGATGCGTGTTCCGTAGGCGTGCTACTAGATATACTCAGCCGTGTGTCCGCGTGCGCGGGTGAAGGGGCAGAGAGTTTTGGTAGGCGAGGTAGCGTGTTTGTGGGAAGTACCTGCTGTTTTCCCACCGTTTATTTTGTAGCGAGTTTTTGTCTGTTCGTACCGTACGCGAACACGATTGCTGTTGTTGCGTATAGGCTAGACACTGCCTGGACGCGCCGTCACAATGGTGCGCATGTAATAACATAAGAAAGTATCGAAATTTTGAAGGTCGATGGAGTGTTAGGGGGCAGGTGGGTGGGCGTGTGTGTGGAGTACCGAAGGCGGGAGCTGTATAGGTCAAGGGAGGTAGGAGATGGGAGAGCGTTTTTTCATGAAGGTGAGTTGCTTTTGGGTTGTGAAAGGTCGAGTGTTCAGTTTCGGCGGCAGGCGTTTTGCCGGGAGCGAAAGAGAGAAACGTGAGGCTGCACAAGGAGGAGCACTAAGTACATATGTAATATGATAGCTGGTTCACGAAGTGATGCCGTGATGGTGAGGAAGTCGCGCTGCCAAGGAGTAACAGGAATCTCAGCAAAAAACATGTCAAGATCGGAGAACCACATGATGAGCTGGGCATTCTCAAGTTATGCCGCTGTGCGGTGTGCCGAGCCACGGCGCGGGTCACATGCAGCATTGTGTCCAACGCCGAAGATTTTCATTTCCCTCAAATTGTTTTGGCGTTGGAGAGGGCGGGCATTCGAAAGAATTTCGGGTCACCTCCATGGTGTGCCAAGATCAGATGGTGATGGTCGCTCTTCATGTACACCCAAGAGAATTCTGGCAGTGTAAGCTGGAGCAAGTGAGGTCAGGATGAAGAATGGTGCTTCGCGTCGGCAGCAGCACAGCAGCGAGGGACGGATGGCCACGAATGACGCCGCCTGCCCTTACGGTGACACCAAACTACCAACCATTCGTTCCACGTTTCGTGTGGAAAATTATGTGGCATTGACCAAACAAACCACCGAATGATCCGCAAATGCACATATGGCATGGCCCGGACGATACCGAAAGGAGAACCATGAGAACCCGGATCAATATGGTATGGTATGGTAACGTGACCGAAAAAACAACAAGCAACAACGCCTCGCACACTATGGAGGGGGGGCTATTGACTCCACAACGTAAAAAGCGACGCACTATTTTATGATTGAATTCCCCGACAAGGCTAGGCTATCAATCCTTCCTGGGTACAGGGCAACGACCAAGCTGCAACACTTGAATAGCAGAGGTAGGTGCACACGCTAGCTGCACGATCCGGCTCGCTCTTCTTCCCTTCGACGCCCCAACCTCAACAGGGGCACCGGGGCACAAGCAAACGCCTCCAGAAACGTAAACACCTCACGCCCTACAGCAGTGGGCAAAGCCTCCGCTACAGGTCCTTCCTTCCTAGGCCGGAAATACACGATCGAAATTAACTATTTTTCAGTCACCCCGTGTATTTTTCCGGGACGATTATTGTCGGCAAAAAATCTAAAAAGTGGAGGTTGTGAGTGTCAGGAAAAACATAACAAAGCGAGACTCCAACAACGGGCAGTCTTGGCGACATGCACGATGGTAGGCGCCACGAAGGGCATCGAGGAATGAACGCGCGGTGGCGGCCGCTGTCCTGAGCCCCGTGGACGACTGCAGCCTACATTGGTGTGTGGGCGGGTGCAAAAGAACCGCGGAAGAATCCACGAACCCCCCCCCC